AGCCTTCTTTCAAACCAGGTTTGCTCAAGCCCTGAGGCCCCTTAATTTAGGAATTGAAATACTGGAAATTTGGAGCTGTGCAACTATTCTAATGTTACCTGTACCAGTGCTATATGCAGAGAACTCAGTGTTTTGGGCCCTAGTTCCTTGTGCTGATTTGCTTAAGTCAAACCCTTCCTAGTTCCATGTTAAGATTAGGGCAAACCCTCCCCTAGTTCCTGGTCCAGATTTTTGCTGCATTGACTGTCATCTTGTATTAAGTTTAAAACAAATTATGGCAATTGTTTCCAGTTTTCAGTGTAATCCATAATTCCTAATATGTTCTGAGTGACCTGTAAAATGTATCTGGTGCAGGTAATTTTCAATGTTAATGTTACATATGTATATGCAAAAAAAAAAAACTACTACAAGCCTGCTTGTCCAGCTAGTTCCTTGTCCAGATTTGCTCAAAGCGAAAGTTTGACTAGGCCCCAGGGCTCGACATACTGGGTGAATATGCTGAGATTTAATAGTGCAGGTTATTGGAGCTCTGTGGCTATTCCGATTTTCGAGGTAGAAGAGTGTTTTGGGCCCTGCTAGTTCCTTGTGCAGGTTTGGTCGAAGTCAAACCCTCCTTAGTTCCTTGACGAGATTAGCTCAAACTACCTTTTCCTTTGGATGCATATTTTTTTTCTACTTTATTTCCGACTGTTATGTTTATGGTGCACAGGAAATGGAAATTAGATCCCTCGTTATGTCTTTTCGGCTACAGGTGTAACCTCCGTTATCGGTTGGGGTGTTAAACAGAGCTAGGTTACAACAAGACTTTTTTGCTTTTTTTTCTCCAAAAAGGTGTACACTTTTTAGCTTCATCTTTTAGGAGCAAGGGAGCATAAGTACAACTTTTTATATACCAGCTGCAGGTGAAGTAGCGTACATGAAAAGTAATAAACAACGGTAACGGAGGTTACAGTAATGACTGTAAAACATTTTGTTCAGCAAGGTTGGCTGCAAACGACAGCAATTTACACTCTTTTCTTCTTCTCTTAGAAACCTAGAAAACTTGGAAAAAGTTATGAAAATAGCAATTTCTTGTCTTCTTCTTTGTGGCTCCATCTTAACTTCACGGCCATCTTACTTGAGTGGTATTGGGGGTTACAGAAGTTGGAGACAGGTATGAACTCCCTCGCATGATGTACAAGAATAGTGACAGGAGTGATCTAACTTCACCGGTCAGAGGGCCTGGCTATGCGGCTTCAACAGCCACCAAACTATTGTCGTAATAAAATTGCTACATTTTATGCTACTTTTAAAGTTTCATGTCTTCTCTGGAGCTTTTTAGGGAAAGAAATCCAAACCGCGGACTCAATTTCTTCCAAGTCATCAATCAAACCTAATGTTGCGGTACATTTTTCGTGAAACATAGTGGAGAGGGTAAGTGAAGAAAGCAATGGTCAGGTCTGTCATTTGGCCCATATAAGTTGTAAAGAGTGGTGACAGCATTTTGCATAATATTTGAATGAGAACGAATGACAGGTCTTCTCATCGACTCTTCGGTCCTAGTAAAACTGTTGAACAGTGAACATACAAAGTGTGTCCAAAATTTGACAATATTTTGCCAACAGTCCAGCAACGTACAGTGAAGGGATTCCATGGTGAGTTCTAACTAATATTTCTAAATGTACATGACGTGTATATTAAAGCAGTGAATGTGCTCAGTATTATGTTGTTGCCGTTGTTTTGCCTCTGTGTAATCCGAGTCTGACAGTGTGTAATAAGCATTCCTGACATGCTGCGACCTGTAAACAGGATTCATCTATTGTATCTACGCTGCAAGGCCAGAGGGAACATTGTCAGCACCTCCATAGACTCTCATGTAATAGCATTGATCTTATCTGCTTTCTAGTATCATGTGGTATGAATTCAAAGATACCCCAAGTCTGTCAGTTATTTTTCCTAGCTAGGAAGAATATGATGTTCTGATATAACTGGTCGTCATGCTGATATTCCAGATGGGGAAACAATTCCTCGTCTGTTTGGTGGTAGCAAACATAGCAAACATTCTGTTGTACCAGACTAATAAATTAAAATTAAAAAAAACAAGAAGCCATAGGCGACAATTCTCCGTGAAGTATTATATATTGCAACAAAAAGAAGTAGTCATTGGCGACAATTCTCTGTGAAGTGTGATAAATCGAACAAAGAAAAATTGTTTAAACGCGCGTCGGCTCAGTCATCTTAAGACGCAACAACCAATCAGAGATGCGAAATGCCGACACGTGACGCGGGATTTGCATACAGTCGGGGAAGGGCGCGATGCCCGAAATATTTTTGCGTCAATATTCAGCGCCGTGTTTCAAGAGATTAATACCGGGAAACAAATTCTTTTCTTGTTTTGAACGCATAAACATGCATTTACGCTAATCTAGTATGATTCAGGGTTACTTTTTTTTTCCTGCCATGGCCAGATTATCTAAAGATGTGTGTATTGAGTGTACAATCTACAGAAAGAGAAATGTACATCAGGTCCGATCATCCGATTTTCACGTTTCGGTTTTTTGGACTCGGTTCATGAACGTATTTTGGTTTGGCTCCTGGAATGTGCGAAAAAAATGACTCCCGGGACTGTCTACAGGGAACACTCGCACATTCGCGGTGTATCAGGACAGCGCGACTGGTCGGCATTAGCGCAGTCCCTGCAATTAGTAACAGTTGCATATCAATCCGGCCGAAAGCATGATTGTGTAACACAGGCTACTTCTTCATATACCGGCTCATACTACACGACGCCTCTACAACTAGCAAATCATAAAATTACCCGATCTACTAGTACTGTATGTGCGGTTTACCAGCCCCAGACCACATCCGACCACGAGGCAGAACACATTGATGGGTTGCTCAAAAATATTGTCCATGTTTACAAAGAGCTGCTCCACTAACACTATGGAGCGGCACAACCCAAAAATATTGGCCATGTGTCGTTGCTAGGACGACCGGCCAGTTGCTACGTGACTAAATACACCCCGCCACTAGGTCGCCACACCCGACCAGTTTGAAATCGATAGGATTACGTCATCGGTATTAACATTTCCTAATGTTGACCTCTGACCACCCCACATTTCCGTCCCCATCAGCCCCGCCGCGACTTACTACCGGTGACATAAACGGACGACAACATTTCAACGACATGGGGATGTTTCGAAAATAACCATTTACTCCAATATCAAAACAGCTACGGTAAAAATAAAAAGACGTGCATCATCCCGGACATAATGCCACACCATATGCGAAATTACACAAAAAAGCGACGTACGGAAGAATGCGTTTTGGCTGCGAACATCTTCCAAAAAACTTGGCATCTCTTAACCATGGGCAAAAACATCTGGAACCACTTATCAAAACCACCCCGTATCTGCATGAAGTTCCACCCCCCCACTGCTATTCCAAACAACACGTTTTTCTGGACCATTCCAATTCGCCTCGTAATTGTAGGGGTGCGTCTGCAATATTACATTGACCGCGAAAGCAGCAACGGCAATAATACACATTCGTGCATCAACACGGGCATGCCCGCAGACGGCGTATAAAATTGCGTGCCGATTACACAAAGAGATTGTTTTGACTGCGAACACGAAAAATCAGCCGATCACAACACTCCGTCCGGAGGTCCTGACCTCCTTCACGGAGTAAAAAATTTAAAAATGGTATTTTTTCTTAGCTATAGGAAGAATATAGCATTGTGATATGACTGGTCTTTATACTGATATTCAAGATGGAGAGGCAATCCTCTTCTGTTTGGTGTTCTTGCCAATACCAGCACTGACTGTCCAAAGAAAGGATTAATTCCTATAAATGTTAGAGTATATACTGAGTGTATTCATGATAACATGGGTGTTCTCTTATGTTTACTTTTCTTCTTCCATAATGATCAAAACTCCATTTGCTAAAAATGACAGGTTTTATTTTAATGTCAGATGATGTGAAATTCATTTTTGGTGGATGTACGTAAATTGAATATTATTGTAACGCTCAGTTGTTTAAACTTTAATTTATTCACTTCTGAAGGATTTTGTCAAGGCATTTATAGACCCAACATATTCTGGGCTGAAAACTGCTTAGGGTCATGGAACTTGTTAAGGTCCAGCACTATGTTGTGAAAAGATTAGTTGTACATCTTGGTCATACAATGGAGGGAAGTAGTGGACCTGTGCCGTAAGTTTCCTCATATCTCATTTTCAACAGTGAAAGGTAGTCCGGAATTAGAGTGTCAGTCCGGAATTAAAGTGTCGCCCGTTAGTAGCCTTTGATTAAGAAATGAATGAAAAGTAGTTTGATAGACATATATTACATAATGCATAACATTCATTCAGACCACAAACTCACTTTTACCTGGCCAGTTGTGGGGCAAAAGGGAGTGATGTTTTGGTTGTCTGAAATCTTCTGATCACTCTAGTGATCATGGCAGGCACCAGAGACCACAAATAACAATCACAGTCGTGTTGTAGATCAAGTCACTAATCACATTAAATTTTGTTCTTTGTTTTTTTTAAATTAATATATACTGGATCAGTCGGGAAAGTGAACATGTTGATCATAAATTCTACAGCAAACCTGAGTAGGAGACGAATTTCACTTCTTACCTTAGTTAATGTGTTTAATTGTGCTTCAGTTTTTCTTGAGTCGTCGTTACATTAAGATCAACAATGTTTTTTTTCTTTCCTGGGACGAGAACTGTTACATCTGTGAAGCCCCGCCATTATTTCTATGGAATGTTACATTGATGTCCCTTCCGAATAATCAGCAATTTATTTTACAGGGCAGATGATTTATCAGAAGATTGTATAATAACAAGTTAGTGGTGTATGGTGGCAATTCTAGTCTTGTGATTTTTTATGGAATTAAGCCATAACGTGTGCAAATCACATTGACGTTGTCATAACCTACTAGTAGGATGAAATTGAGAAATGTTAGCTGCTTATCAAGCCACATATCCTCTCTCACTTTTTCTACATTGTGTCCAGTAACAGGCTACGTCAGTTTGCTACAATTAGACTTTGCTGAGCTAAAGACGTACGACGAGGCTAGACAGACGTGTGCCGCAGACGGGGGACTACTGGCCATGCCGAGGGACAACGTGACCAACACCTTCATCCACAACCTGGGAGGAGGAGCTGGAATACGCTGGATCGGGCTGACTGACCTCGGGAACGAAGGCCAGTTTGTGTATGAAGACGGCCAAAATCTTGCGTCATCCGGCTATTCTAACTGGCATCCCGGTGAGCCGAACGACGCCCACAAGGGCGAACACTGTGTCATGATGTTTAATTCCATGCACGGCTGGAATGACGCAATTTGCAGTCTCGCCAGGGGATTCATCTGTTAGCTAGGTATGTGTTACTATTGCACACCCTAGCGTGTTTGTAAGGTGCAGTAAATGTGAAAATTTTAACTCTTGTGCATTACTGTAGGGTGGATAATACTATCTAGTAGATATCATTCTTTTAACAGAATTAAAACGGCGTTAAATGTTTCTCATTGTTACCACAGAAGTCTCTGTTTTAGTCATGCTCGAGTCTATGGACTGTCCCCATAAGTTCGCCTTGTTGGTACTGACGTCATATGACATCCTGAGTCCCGAGCAATAAACATATTATAGTTTTCTCCTTCGGGACGAACGCGATGACTGTCAGACTTTCTGACGATCTGATTTGTGCAGATAGACACAGCGGTTACTTTCTACCCTTCCCAGGTCGACACACTTTAGATGACATTGAAACAGCGAGCATTCCAGAAAACGCAGGGTTGAGAGATGTTTCTCAGTTAGTTGTGTAGTACGTGTTCTTACAGCAAAACAATGTTAACTAATCCTGTTCAAAACTGTACTGTGCCTGGCTTTGATTTATAATTTTGTGGTTGTCGATTAGAGCAGAGGACCACAAAATACATTTATACCAGAACAAACAGAACATGTTTCTGAATCTACTTTAATTTTAAGTTACTAGTATCCTACCTCTGAGTCAGTTGAACATACTTTAAGTGTCTGTCTATCATCTGAATTTATCATACTTAGTACGTGCATTGACGCTTAAGTCTATCAAACTGCCATATCTCATTGATCATATAGTATTTAAAAATACTTCACCCACCGTGTGTTGTTAGGACAAGGGTACTAATAAATCACCACAGGACGGAGGGACATCTCTGTGCCAAGATAAAGATGTTGTCAGGTGAAACGTTATGTTACAGATGGAAATTATATTACCGTAGCCCAGTGATACCATCTGTAAATCTTGAAATCGGTGGTGTATTTTCGAAATTTCACGGTGACTTTCCTCAACGTAATTATGGCACCACGAATTTGTGTCTTTGTGCTACCGTATCGTCTCGACCGTGAATTCAAAACACCTTCTTCCCGCTCCGGCAAAAATAAATCCCAGCCGAAATGCATCAAGTTACTGTAGCATCATAACCTTTCTATGTCATAGGGAGTTGGAGGTAGAGTAACCGTGAACGTTGTACATGTACATTGTACTTTGTGTAACACTTGTAGCGTGAATCACAGGTAAATCTATTTTGATTCGAATGGTTTCTTTACAATATGGAATTGCAGAATTCCAAATTGCTCTAAATTTAATGCATGGACGCCACTGTGCAGTATACTCACACATGCACAGCCAAATATTGATTTTAGAGTGGTTAATATTTAAAAAGACATTGCCTCTGCCTAGAATAATAAAACCATGTTTTGAATGCGCCACAGTGGAGTTAATGCAAATATCAAATGATGTCTACAGACAAGCAGAATGGTACATCAAAAACAGTGCATCCGTCTGTATGTTTCTGACCAAGGACATTATGTTCTGACGAAAACAACTCTCTAGATCTATGTTATGTTAAACACTGGTCACTTTAATTTTGGAATGTCACTTTCCGAATTTCGAGACATCTATGTTGAAATCCTTGATTTTCAACTCTGTTATTCCTGGATGTACAGTTAACTTTTCCATACCATTGGAAAGATCATATTACCTTCTTTATTAGGTTCTTTTTTTATGGTTAGAATGTACAAATTTATCAAGATATTTGACTTTAAAAATTGCAAGCCTTGCGGTCTAGAATGCACACCGTCAGGCCCAGGAGAATATAAGCCTGGCAGTCCTAACTTTAGCCCGTGCGGGCTTAGTAGTCACCCCGCATCCAATGTAAACCACTGAATTAATGAGAATTCACATCTTCACACCAGTGTAATTAGCAAGTGGGTTGTAATTCATGCTCTCCTTGCTTGTGATAATCATGTGGATTTTACACAACAATTGGATCAGACCGCGGTCTGAGATGTAGCCCCTGGCCTGAATCCTTTCTCAGACAGTCTGCATTCATTAATCAATTCACATATTCCACACCTTTATTTTTTTTTTTTGTAACAGAATTTTCAGATTGCGGGGTGAAATTAGCCTGATGGTCTGAATGGTTTCTGAGTAAATCAGCCCGCGGTCTGGGAATTTGGACCCATAGTCTAAGTGCCTTTAGACCGAAGGTCCTGTAATTAAAACTTGCGTGCTAGTTGTTAGGACTAACAGGCTGTTGAAAAAGACCACCGGTCTGCTTGTATTTATTATTAATGATATAATCTTAAGTTATGAACACTGCAGAACAATAATTTTTATATCACTGTGCTCATTACACCAAGAGCTACACACTGATGTGAAACTTGAATGTTGAACATCAATTTTTACTTGAGTTTCCAAATGCCTTGTGCCTTTCCAAAATTGATGCGACCAGTGTATTATGTTTATTAGGAATCTCCATTAGTTAATACAGTGTTTGTTTACTAGTCTTCCTGGAGTCCTTTAACATTACATTTAAAAGATGAAATATGATCAATTACTTACTTACTTAGACTTAGTTCGTCCCGTGCAAGGCACATTGGGCAGCAAGACTTCTCCACTCTGCTCTGTCTTTGGCGAGGGACTTGGCATCCTTCAGTGATATCCCCTTGCTTTCAAGATCTTTTTGAAGGGTACGTCACCATGTTAGTTTGGGTCTCCCTCTTTTCCGTTTGCCCTCTGGTTTCCAGAACATAGATGTTTTGGCGTGTCGGTCTGAGGTCATCCTGAGGACATGTCCAGCATACCTCATCCTCCTCTCGGTGATGGTGATGCTGAGTGGTTTTGTACCAGTTCTGTCGTATACTTCCTTGTTGATGATCCTGTCTCTGTATGTTATGTGTAGAATTTTATGGAGGCATCGTTGTTGGAAGGCATCCAGCTTGTTCCACATTTTTGTTGTTATCTTCCATGTTTTACATGCATAGAGTGCAGTTGGTATTACTACACTACCAAAAATGCCAATCTTGTTTTTCTTCAGAGAAGAAAACTTTTCTTCAACTGAGAAAATTATTCTTCACCCAAGAAAAAAATCTTGTCCATGAGACAAGAATTTCAAGAAACTACATTTTAGCATATTTTTCTTGTGGTAAGATTTGTTTTCTTATGTATCTTGGACTAAATATCCTTAGAATATTATTCTTGTAGTAAGAATTTCTAAGTTTTCTAGAAAACCATTCTGTACACAAGAAAAGATTTCTTGAACTAAGATCTAACTCTTCTTGTAGCAAGAAAACCATTCTCCCCACAAGAAAAGATTTCTTGAACTAAGAGCTAACTGTTCTTGTAGCAAGAAAACCATTCTGTACACAAGAAAAGATTTCTTGAAATAAGAGCTGACTCTGTTCTTGTAGCAAGAAAACCATTCCTCCCACAAGAAAAGAAATACAATGTATATAGTGCTACCTAAATATAAAACAGACAATAATGTATAGCAACTAAATGTTATTTTGAAAAGCATTTGGACAGTATAGAGATGTTTATTATCACATTGATTTTTGTACAATGTATCTAATTAAAAATATAAAATCAGTCCATCAACATTCTTGGAATGGAAACAGTTTAACAGTAACTTTCAAAATATTATACAATGTAACTAACAAGCCATTATGATTTCAGAATACAGATCGTATCACATTCTGATCAGAAACATATTCAGCAAAAACTGAAGTTTTCGCATTATAGAATTGGCAAAGCCACACCCTTTGGACACCTGAAAAACAACAGGAAAGACCTGTGTTAGTTTGCATGCGTGTACTGAAGGCAACAAGTCAAAAGAGGATGCTAAAATACTATTTTATTACTTGGAGTAAACAATTTAAAATTGTATTAGAAAGCACTGTAATAAACTTTACTATACAATACACCAGAGATATATGATTTGACTTTGAAATCAACCCCAATGGCGTTGTAACAATATTTGGGCTATGAAGTCGAAAAACAATGTCAACAAATCTTATAGGTGGGGAGGGGGGCGCACTTACCTTCAATCTGTTTGGTTTCATGCTTTTTCTGTTGCAAAGTTGGTTTCTTCAGCAAGCTGACCACGATCTCCATTGCTTCACATGTACACAAAGTCCTTTTTGATTTGATTTTGACTTCAAATCTGACATGAGTCAGTAACTGACAAAAATAAGTAGCAGCGCGGCTCTTACATCTGACTTATGTTCAAAACCCCCTAACTGCATTCTGGGATTTGAATCAACCAATCAGGGGTTTAGAAAAGGTCACATGACAAGAAAAAACTAGAAAAAAGTTCTTACATCATCTTGAACATTACCAGGCAAAATAAGAATCATCTTTCTTAAACTTTCTGGTATTTTCTTAAATGTTGCTAAGAAAAACAAGAATGGCCTTTCTTAAACTTTCTAGGGAAGAAAATCAAGAATGTTTAAGAATATAATACTAGCCATATCTTCATAGATCAGCCTAATCAAAGATCAATTTTATATCAGACTTTCTTGGTTTTTTTTCTTATCAGTATTTGTCAAGCAAGATAAGAACTTTATTCTTGTATTTTCTTAAATGTTGCCAAGAAAAACAAGAATGATCTTTCTTCAGCTTTCTAGTCAAGAAAAACAAGAAACTTTAAGAAAGAAACACTAAGCAGAGCTTTATTCTAATAATAGATTTAGATAATTAAATTTCTTGCTTTTCCAATCAGTGTTTCCCAAGAAAGACAAGAACCAAATTCTTGTATTTTCTTAAACATTGCTAAGAAAAACAAGAATGGCCTTTTTCAATCATTCTCGGTAACATGAACTAGAAATTTTTTGAAATACACAAGAAAAAAAATCTTAAATCTGACCACTTTGATGTCAGGTAAGAAAGAAATCTTCCATGGAGATTAAATAAGAAACTTTAACTAAGTCTGAGGGAATTTTAATTAATATAAGATTAAAAGAATTTTAATCTTGTAACTTAGAATCTTCCCTAGAAATATTGTCTTTACTAAAAGAAATTTCAAGATTACAAGAATTCTAATCTTGTAAGTTAGAATCTCCTCTAGAAATATTTCTTCACCAAAGAAAAATCAAGATTTAAAGAAGCCTATTTTAGAAAATTATCTCCACTCAAGAAAAATGAGAAAATTGTTCTTGGTGCAAGAACGTAGGTATACAGAAAATTTATTTTTTTCTTATTT